TCAGTGGAAGCTGGATGGGTGACAAGCTGCAGAAGTGCATCATTCCCTCTGTTGATTCAGGAACAAGTGTCTGTGCAGACAGCAGCAGCGTGCCACATTCTCATGGGCAGGCTTGTTACTGCCTGCTCTGACAGCTGCTTGTGTGTTTGTTGTTTTCCTGGCCCACTGGAGACACCACTACTGACTGTGTGCAGAACCTCTGGGCCAATCTAGCTCTGGCAAGGCTGAGGTTCTGGAAGAGAGCTGAGGAAGTGAGCGCTGGACTTGGGACATCTCTGCCCCTGGAGATCTGGCCCTGCCAAGCAGTGCCCTGGATGATGTCCCCTGTCCTCCAGCATGTCCTGCCTGAGTCTTTCCAGAGCTGGCTGCTGCTGCCCTCCAGGCTCCCGTGGTCCTTGCAATGCTGGTTGCTTGCCTGAGCCAGGAGAGGAGTTTCTGCCATTTCACTGGGCTAAGCAGTGCAGTGGAGATTGGGAATGGCAGGAGTTTTGCAAATACACTCAGGATTTTCACAGGTGTGTCATGACTGGGCAGATGTTTGGGTTCAACAGGAATGCAAAGGTCCATGGAGATCCTCACCAATCATTTCTGATGCTATTTGATCCCTTGAGGGAAAAGTCCAGTGCAGACAGGAGGGCTGGGAGTCCTAGATCCTTATATCTTTGCCCCGTGCTGTGCTCATCTTCTCTCCTGTGGTCAAAAAAATAGTCAGAGAGAAATGTTTTGCTTTGATCTCTGTCCTGCTCCTGGCACCCTGTGCCAGACTGTTGTAGCTCATTGCATATGTACCTGTCCCTGCACACTCATGGGATTGCTCTCAGGGTGCCTTCCCTAGCTGGCATTTTGCTCTAAGCTTTGCTTCTCTTCTTGTCCTGCTTTTGCCATTGTACATTGTTGCAGCAGCTCTTCCCTAAAGCATCACCAGCCAGGAGGACTTTCCCATGGGCTGTGGTAACCAAGGGTTATGTGTGGGAATGCTGTGATAAAAGACCTCTTCAGTGTGAATGAAATAGCGTGGTTTGAAATGAAAAGTAAGTCCTGATGGAGAGCATTGGACTTGGAGGAAGGGCAGAGCCCACAAAGTCACCACTTCTCTCCTGTTGCTGCTGGGTGTCTGCAAGAGGAGAAGAGCTGGAGCTGAAATTCAGCAAGACCTGTTTACTCTTTGATTTCCAGTATATGGAAATGGGATGAAATTCATTCCCTCAGCAATTGCTTGGGCTGCAGACTCAGGGAAGTGCAGTTTCTAGCACAGATGGGTCATGGATGCCCTCAATCCTCAGAGCAGAGCTCCTTAGCTCAGGTGAGATGGACCCAGCACCAGTGCAAGGAAAACCCAGCATCACAAGCCCTGGTTTGCTGCTAACTTGTCCCATGGTATCACTGGAGGAAGGAACAGGGAGAACAATCAAGATTGGTTATTTATGTCAACACAGGACCTCTATCCCCAGAATTCTTCAGAAATTGTTCTTTCCCACCTGCAGCACGACTGAGGGTCAAAAGAGGGAAAACTAATCCAGCCGTTCCAAAGGCTGTGGTGTTGTGCACTCATAGGATCTTGAGTGTTTGGCTTAAATACTCAGCTCCAGGAGACATTAGGTTATGGCAAAAGCACCACTGCCAGCCCAGATCAAAGCTGATTCTTGTCCTCTGTCCAGAAGGGGCAGTTTGGAAGCACCCTCTGTATTGACCCCAGATTCCCACGAGGTGAAGAAAATGTATAATGGTTCAGAGGCTGCTTTTATCCCTTGTTTTTTTCCCTCTATCTTGTGGCTTTGGGACTCCTAGATCCTGGCCCTGCAGTCACACAGCATGAGGGGTTTCAGGGTGCTAATAAGCGTCCCTGTAGTTTTCTGTTATGCACTATCACAGCTTTTTCTGGAAGAGCTCCTGAGGCACAAGCAACAGAAATCTTAAATACAAATTTCATCAGGTACTTGTGCTGTGGGGGCTCTGATCTCCCCATCCTGCTGTGTCCAGCTGGGAAAGTGCAGGGACAGATACTGCAGGCAGGGCTGTGGCTGCTCTGTGAGCCTCACCAGCCATCCTGGCTCTGTCCCACCTCATTCCCACCACATTCTGGACCTAGGAGAGGAGTGAGAAGCAGGGACCACGTGGAAGGGTCCAGCAGGAGCAGGAGGACACCAGTGCCTGTCCTAGATTGCTGTAGCCAGCAGTCCTTACTGTAATGCAGGATAAAAGGTGCAGTTGCCTGACCCTCCTTTGCACTGCCCAAGCCCTGCCATGTGTGTGCAGGACCCTGGAAGGGGCTCTGTGGCAGGCAGAGGGCTGGGATGGAGATCAGGCACGCTCTAACAATAGCCTGTGTTATTTTCACATCCTTGCTGTTTCTCAAAGACCATTAGGAGGTAATCCTTTCCTCCAGGATTGCAGTCTCATCCCAGGGACAAATTTGCCTCAGCAATTTTTGCTGATTGGAAATTCACCCAGAGAGCAGACTTGCCATTTGTTCTGCCTACCCATTTTCCCAGCAGCCTTGTGCAGCAGAAACAGCAGCAGCACACAAGTCTGCCCAGCACAGGGCACTTGTTCACACCCTGGAGTGATCACTTGGAAAACTGCATAACACCACCACCTCCTGGCAGTGGCACTTAAAGCCCCGTTACTCTGCTTTATTCCTGAAGTCCTATTGCTGTTGTATCTAAGCATCAGATTTTTATTTTCCTTTTTAATTGGCACACAGATATCTTTTTGTAAGGTAGAATTATTTTGTGGGGCTTTGAGGAGTGCCACACATGGCAAGCCAGAGCACACCCATAGGAAGTTTATGTCTTGATGTCTCTGCTGCCCTCAGAATTTAAAAAGGCACCTCTCTTAATTAACTTTCCTGAGGGGATTTTTCCTGCATGAGGCCAGGATGCAGTGTACATTTTAATGGGAGCTGTCAGGAAAATTATTGATTTGGTTAGTAATGTTTCTGAAATTGTGCCATTCTGGTAATTCTATCAGGTTGTCTTTGAAAGCTTAACTGAGAGCATTTTTATATCCTTCATTAGTTTTTTAATACATGATAATTTCCCCTAACTCATCAACGCAACGCAAGATCAGCTGCCTGCTTGGTAACCATTTTTCCTGTGTACAAACCTATTGCAGCAATAATTACAAAGTGAACAAATTATTACAGATATTCATTATAAAATACAATTACACTGAGCCGTGCTGCATTGTTACACTTTTCACAGCCATCACTTGCTCTTGAGTAAATGGTTTCATTAAAAGCATGAAGGGCAAACTTAATACACTTCTGACTCACAGCAAACAGCACAAGAAATCATCCTGGCTGTTCCTCTGAGTGCTTGAGGTGTTTACCCTGAATGAGTAGAAAATGTTGGCCCTGCTGCCAAATACTTGTCAGCTTAGCAGAGGGGCTCTGGGTGGCCAGTGCAGATGTGCAAGGAGAGGAGAAAGCCAGAAATCATGGCAGTGTGGCCTCAGTTTCGCTCCCCTAGAGCGTGGCTTTCTTCCATGTTTATGGGTTTCAGTGCTGGGACCTGCCAGGAACAGCAGAACCTCCTTCATCATGTCTTGGAGCAGCCTTAGGGCTGCTTCAGCTTCTGCTGGGTGCCCGTGGAAAGTGCAGGGGAGCCGGGGTGGGATAGGAAACATTTCTGTGAAGGAAAAGGCATTCAGGCCTGGGCAGGGAGGGAAAGCTGGTTTAGGCAAAAGCATTCACAGGAGGGCAGTGCTGTCAGGTGAGTGTGGGGGGAAAGCACACCCAGCCAGAAACAGACACAGAACTACAGTCACTGCCTTGGCTTTTTGTTTGGTGCTGTTCCTTGTCTGGATCGAGATGAGAGCCAGGAGGAGGTCCTGTCCCCACAGCAGTGCCAGGACAGTGAGCAGAGCCTCCAGGGAGGAGCAGAGGCTGCTGGATTTCTGTTTGTGCTGTCTTTGCACTGGCTTTGCTGTAGGAGGGACCACAGTAGCACAGGTCCACCACCTCATGTTTGTACCCCAGGTTTGGCCACCTTCTGGTGAGCAGCTTTCAGCCAGTTGTTTCTGTGAGTCCCTGAAAAGAGCTGAAACACCTCTGTGCTAATTTTTGTCCTCTGGAAGAGCAATTTTTACTTCATTGAGTGGCTCAAGAAGCAAGTCTCTCTCCTGGTGGCCCCAGCCTCCTGTGAGGCTTTCAGCTTCTGTGGTGTGTGCTTGTGGCTGTGCTCTGAGCAGTGACTCTGCCTTCAGACCTGTCTTGATGATGTTCCAGGGGCAAATTCAGCAACCCCTGGGTCATGTGAGAGGGCACTGCTGCTCAGGTCTCTAATGGGAGAGGACTAAGCCTTGAAGGCTTGGGAAAGGATGGGCTGCTTGTAAAGCAAAATTTAAGAAACAAAATCCCACCATCAGTGAAGCTTTCCATGTGCCTGCCCTAACCAGAAAGGCCATTCTTCCTTTGCACTCCCTTCACAGAAAAAGTCCTTACTTCAACATCCCTTTCAAGCTTGTAAATCAGAGCCTCCAAAGCCCAGAATGAGCAGTTGATCATGATGCTGTTCATGAATCTGCTGAGCCTGGGGAGACAGAGCCCCTTCCATGCCCAAGCTTGAGCATCATGCTTCCAGGGGCTTGGTCTGTGCTGGTTCCCAGTGCTTGTGCCCATGCAACGTGTGCAAGCTGCCAAGGGGCTGTTCTACACCACAGGTTTTTGGAAAGGGACATGTCTTGTCAAGACACCTCTGGGGAAGGTTGGCCCAGCCTGGCCATGCCAGGGAGGATGGCACCTGCAGGCTGCTGGTGCTCTGTGGTCCTTGCCTATCCTGAGACAAGCTTGGCCTATTGGCTCCTGCCCTTTGCTTTTGACTGTGCTGTCCCTCCAGCCTGTGCCACCAAAACCACTGTTTTCTGTCCACAGCCCCCTTTTCCTGCTCTTTCCACCTTCCTCCTCTACCTTCTTCTCCTTCTCCTGTTCTGCTCCCTGTTTCTCCTCCTCCCTTTTCCCCCCTTACTCTTGAATCTCTATTTCTTCTTCTCTGTTCCAGCAAAACGATATCAATCAAGGTGATAGATGATGAGGAGTATGAGAAAAACAAGACCTTCTACCTAGAGATCGGGGAGCCCCGGCTGGTGGAGATGAGTGAGAAGAAAGGTGGGGGATGTGCTCCGGGGCTGAGCCCAGCCTGTGTGTCCCTGTCTGGCTCACTCATGTCTGGCACCTGCAACACCGAGCTCACATCCCCGGTGCCTATGGAAAAGGGCAGGAGCAAGGCCACTTCCCGTCCCCCCTGAGCACAGCCTGTCCCCAGGCCAGCATGGCATGACCTGGGCCAGGTGGTGAGGATGCTCCTGCCCTTCCCCATATGCCCCAAAGGGGGGATGTGCAGCCCCTTTCCTCCATCCAACCATCTCTGTCACCACAGCACCCGGGCGGACGTGACCTGCATGTGTGTGCGATGCCAATCATGTGTTTGCCTCTGTCTTGTGTTCCCACAGGAAATTCATTACCCTTAGAGTACTTGACCGTGAGGAGTATGAGAAAGAGTGCAGTTTCTTCCTTGTGCTTGGGGACCCGGTGTGGCTACGACGAGGAGTGAAAGGTGTGAGAGTAAAACCAGACCAGCTCTCGAGGCGCTGCCGCTTTCTCTGTGTCTCCCTACTCTCACACTCCTTTCTCCTCGCACTTTTGGCCGTTTTGCCCTCCCTCCTCTGAAGCTTGGCCGCTGCACCTTTTTGCTCTGTTTTCTTCCCTCTTTTGTTTGGAGAGGACTCCATCCCAGCCCAGGGAGCGAGGAGTGCTCCTGACACTACCCCGGAGCAGGAGCGTCACCAGCCCCCAGAGACATTTTGGGAGTGCTGCCCTGCTGTGCCTTCATTTAATCCAAGAGAACATCCAGCCTCGACAAGTAAAAAGGGCAGCGCTGCATCATTTTTATCAGAAGATGAAACAGCTTTCACTTGAGATAAAATGCATGGCCAGAGCAGTAATTTTAGCCTTTTTATACTGGCACTAGGATCCGAAAATAGACGAAAATCACAGCCCAAGTAGGTAATATCATGAGATGCAATCAGTTTAGGTAAATCAGGTTATGCTCAAATGAAGTTTCATGGCTCTGCATTGGATAATAGCTTCTCACAGGAATAATAAAAACAATTTCCTCTTTCATCACATTTCTAAACCAAATGCCAAACTTCCCAAAAAGACAGAGTTCACCTATTTTCCCATGCTATTTTTTTTCTACTAGAAAATTAAATGAGGATTAATGGCAACAGCTGGTTCTGCACACTACTGGTGGCTGAGCAAGAAGCAGTTTTAGAGTTACTTAAGAGATGGACCATTATTAAAGCCTCTGCAGAAGATTCGGTCTGTGTGCCTTGGAGCTGCTTTCTAGTTTCTGGGGCATCAGCTCTCCCTCCAGCAGGCATTAGGCTATAATATTTCTTTGATCAGAACAGACAAGGCCCTCAGTAGTCCCGTGAGTGGGAGCACGTTCCTCTTCAGCTCAGGTGCTAAGTCAGCTGCATTGTCCCCTCCATCAGTTTCCCTGATGGTTTACGTGACTACCTAACAAAAGCTGGGCTAAAAAATCAGACACTGGCATGACTCAGGCACTGCAGGTGGGGTCTGTGTCATTAAATGGTGCTGGTGGCATCTGTGGAGCATGGACAGTACAGCCAGGATTAAGTTACACATGGAGGACTCAACTCAGCAGCTCTGTCCTTGCCTACAGGGGCCAGTGTGTGCTCAGCCTTGCAAGTCCAGCAGGAGCAAACATGCTTTCCAGATCCAAGGGTTAAAAATTGTGGCCCCAGCTCTGAAGATCCTACATGAAATTTTTATCTAAAAATAAAAGGAAAAGGAAAAAAATTTCTTATCTTCCTGGTCACAAAGATAAGTGGGGAAACCTGAGAGAAGCTCAGGCTTACTGGCTCACTAAGTGGAAGGCAAGACAAAATTTTAAGGGACTATTTAAAGCAGCTATTTGCTGCTTTGGCCATGCAATTTAAAAATCTGTTTTTGTTTTAAACTTGTTTCTTTGTACTTGGTTTGGTACAAGAAGCAGTGAGGCAGGAGGAGCCCTGTGCTCAAGAGAGACAAGGGCATCTCTGAAATGTCACCCCTGGGCTGTGGTGGGGCCCAAGAGCCACCAGGGCACTAAGGGAGAGGCTTTTTCTTTTATTTTGGTTATCTAAAATATTAAGCCATAAGACCCTTGAGCCAAGCCTTGCCACAGACTTTTCTTCTCTCATTGTCTGTGCCAAAAGTGCAGCTGCCACCGGAGCCATTGCTCCCCGTCAGGCAGCTGGAGGAGGTCAAAGCCAGTAGCTGCTGCACATGGGACATCTTGTGTCCCCACCGGGGCAGAACTGCCTCTGAGACCAATGGAAGATCTTGCACATACAATTCAAAGGGGAAAAATGAATTTTTGGGAGTGTGTCTTCTAATCCCATACCCACCCCATGTTTGCAGTGGTTTTTATTTTAAATCCACAATCCCATGAAACATTTCTGTTTAGTGTCTTTCTCTTAACACTAATGGTATCCTGCAGCTTTACAGATCTGAAATCTCTGCCCTGGGATCTGGTGTCTTTCTGTGGATATCCCTTTTGATTTCATTATTCATTTACTTTTCTTCTTCTGTGTTTGTCTCTGTCTCCTTCACAGCCCTGTTGTTGAATGAGCTTGGTAAGCGCATTCATTTTTCCTTTCCATTTTCTGGTTTGCATAACTTTGGAAGACAATCAATTTTGCTTGATGTTTTTCTTTGCTCACAGCATTCTCTTTTAGGGTGGTCAGCACTGTTTAAGGAAGCTCAGGTACCTAATGCCCCATCTTTCCTTAGAGCAGAGCCCCAAAATCACCAATATGAAGAGGTGGTGCAAGGAGCATTTTTGGGGGGGTGGTGCTGTTATAGCCACAGTAAACCTGCCAGCACCCCAAGATACAAACCTGTGCCACACAAATGAACCCATCACCTCTAAACTGGTGTGGCAATACAGGATTTCCCGGTGACTGGGGAATTCTTGTGGCTGGACAGGAAAGTTGTCCAATCCTTTACAAACTTTGCCTCCTGTCTTGGGGAGACTTAGAGCCTGAGAAACCTTTGAATTTCCTTGCTGGCCACCTCCAGGGTAGGGCAGCTGGGGAGTGGGCATCCTCATTCCCCATGCACTTGCAGCCCCAGGACAGATTTCACCCTATCCACAGCATATATCAGAGACCAAAGGGTGGCAGCTTGCAGATGTGGGTTGAAAAGCCTGTGTCCAGGTCTCCCCACACTATCCCTGGGGTGTGTGATGGGGAGCAGACCCCATGTCCACAGTGGGGCAGGGAAGGACCACCATGTCTGTGTTGCTGTGCAAATGCTAATCCTCATTTATTCTCTCTCTCTCTCTCTCCCTCTCCCTTTTTCTCATTTTTTGTTTCATCTAGGTGGCTTCACCATCACAGGTATGGATTTCTACTCTTCCCCTGTCCCCCTGTTCCTTTCTCTTAATGGCCATATGCTCACCCTGCTCTTTCCTCTTGGTTTCCTCTTTGCTTTTGTTCTGTCCTGGAGGGAAACTCCGCTATGGTAAGCAGGCGCGGCCTGCCAGGCCCGGCCTAACCATGTGTGCTCCCACAGAGTGCTCTGCCTGCCTCACGCACCTAACCCAGCCTCAGGGAGGGTCACCTGTCACCTCCCAAGCCACAAACCACCCCTCTCCATGTCTTGGAGCAGGGTGGGCTTCTCCATTTGATCCAGCTGTCCCCTCCCTGCGCACAGGGCTCTTTTCTCACTTCCCAGGCCCAAGCGCTGCGGGAAGGGCAGGAACCCATGGCTCCTCTGGCATGAGCCAGCCAAGCTTCCCTCCCTCAGCTGAACAACACGGGACAAGAAGGTCCTGCATCCCACACCTTGCTCCTCAGGAGCCCTGGAAACATAGTTCAGATTTAGGAGGCTCTGGCTCCAAGGTGGGTCTCTCTGGCCTGCAGGAGGAGAAGGGCTTTCCCTCAACTCCTTGCCACCTGAGCAGACAAGGGGCATCCAGCAAGGGAGCAGCACTAACCCCGTGTGACATAAGAGTGGAGTTTACTAACTGCACGGGGACAGCTTGTAGAGTGTGTGCAGTCCCCCCTGCTGATCTCCTGCTGATCACTTTAATAGGCAAACCTGTCTTCAGGAAGGTCCAGGCTAGAGATCATCCTCTTCCTTGCACCGTGGTCTCCATCCAAGGTACCTATGGTGTGGCACCATGTCAGTCTCACATGGACTGACTGGGGTGTTTGCCTACTGACACATTAACTCCAGTCCTTTTTAGCCCTGATGTTCTCCTGCCCATCCCTCAGGTGGACTGGAAGGGAGTTCAATGGGGTCTGCATAAGGGACAGTGACAAAGGGCATGCTGCCTGCAGTCCCCATGCCCCAGAGGTCACACAGATGACAGCGGAGGTGCAGACCTGCTTCACTGATCTTGTAGTCCCTCTGCTGCCTCCTCTTTTAGGGTTTGGAGCCAGGCACTGGCCTGTGGATGGCTCCTTACATCTGTGCTCTTCCCTCCAGCCCCGCCATCACAGCAGGCGTTGGCTGCCAGCCCCCTCTCCAAGGCAAAGGCCTGCTCAGAAGGAGGCAGAGCCAAGATTTCATCTGTGTCTCAGCCCAGGAGCTGCTGACAGAGCTCTCCTGCTGTAACAGGCTGGTGGAATTGCCCTGACTGTACTTCAGTGCTGACCTGGAGTGCTGGGGAATGGAGCAGCCTTAGTGCTGATCTTTCCCCTTCCCAGCAGCCCAGTGGCAGAGGCAGCAATTAATAACCGAGCAATTACCAAGCAATAAGATATTCCCCAGCCCCAGGATGAGCAGGACTCCTCTGAGGTTGGATGAGTTGCAGACCTCTTGATAGCATTCCATACAACTATCCTGTCTGTTGCTCCATGAACTGCTGCTCCGCTGTTCTGTCGCTCACGCTCCCACTCAGAGGCCTCCTGACCTCCCCCTCTGACAGGAGGCCAGATCCAGAGTGCCCAGCTGGGCCTGCTTCACCCACGGGCTCTTTGCTTTGCAGAGGAGAATGAGGAAAAGCAGCCCCTGACCAGCAAGGAGGAGGAAGAGCGTCGGATCGCAGAGATGGGGCGCCCAGTCCTGGGGGAGCACACCAAACTCGAGATCATCATTGAGGAATCCTATGAGTTCAAGGTACTGTTCACATCCTGCATCCCTGTTCTTCTTCCCCCTCCTCCTTTTGGGTCTGTGCAGCACTGGGAGGCACATGGTGATGGTAATGGAGCAAAGCAAGGCAGTGCATGGAATCACACAGGAAACAGGAGCTGGGGTCCCAAATGCTGCAGGTTGCTTTAAAATATCACCCTGTTCTCACAGTGAGTTCTACACACTGCTCCTACTTACAGGCAGCCTTGAGTGAGCCCCAAGCCTGGCACTCCCAGTGCAAAGGGCTGATAACCTCAAGTGCAAGTAATGGTTGTGCGGCTCAGCTGCCGTGGATGCGTGTGCCAGGCCAAGAGCTGAAAACTGGCCATTTCATTATCTTCTCTATTTTTCTGTAGTATGAAAATATAACAGGCCACCCTTACTATGGCTCTGAGATGGTTTAAACTCCCATCCATGAGCAGGTTTCCTAAGGTCTTTCTAGCAGCCGCGAACGGAATTGCAAGTACTTACATTTGGGTCTCTTGAGCTTAAAATCTGCTGAGCTTGTTCCATAAACACATTCCCATAAACAGTGGCACTGGTGGGCTTTAGCCCCATATCTCCAGCCCCTAATTCTGTGCTCTGCATCTCCCTCCACAGAACACGGTGGACAAGCTCATTAAGAAGACGAACCTGGCCCTGGTGGTTGGCACAAACAGCTGGAGGGAGCAGTTTATTGAGGCCATTACTGTCAGCGCGGGTGAGTTTGGGCCGCAGCTCCAGGTGAATTACGATCACCCTCGCCTCGCCTCAGCTGCATCACTAACACAGGCTGTAGTGGAGCAGCAGGAGGCAAAGCAGGTGGCAGAGTTATTTACAGCTTCTGCATAAATAAGGCAGCTGATTAAAGCCTTTTGTGAGGGCACCTTGTCTCATGTGTAGGAAACCTTCTGCGTGAAGCGTGTCTGTAGCACCAGGCAGAGCAACACCTTGGCTGGTAGCAGACGGCAGAGGGGGAAAAGTCAGTTCAGTGGGAGAGATCTGGGAGGAGAACACAGTGTGGAAATTCAGAGTGGCATAAATAAGGCTGGTGTGAAGCAACAGTGCTCCCCTTCCCGGGTTCTCCCTGTACCTCTGTGTTGAGGACAGCACAGTAGTGAGGGTGCAAACCCTGAAGGCAGTCACTCTGTCTGAGCCAAAATTTTCCCTTGACACACCCTGCTTTCTGGAACTCCTACTGCCCCAGCCAGCTGTGGCTGGAGGATTATGGCTCAGCAGCCCAATAGCTGCAGCAGCACATCATATCTCTGGTTGAACCAGATTCTCTGTGATCTTACCTTCCCTCCCTTGGAGAATTGTCTTTCCCTCAAATGCCTTATTGTGCAGTTCTCGCAGATGCCACTGCCATGTTTACCAGTAGGGGATATATTATCATTCCCATATATGTAGAAGAAGAAAGAAAGAAGGTCTCCTCCAGATGTTGTTTTAACAGCTGGAAATACTATTACTTACTGGCTGGATGTTACAACCCCAGAGCCCAGCCTGGGCTGTGTGTGCACACATTAGAGCAAAATCAGACAGCTTAAATTAAATCCCTGGGGAAGGCAATTACCTCTCATCTGGCTAATTGTGCACTGAAGTGCATGGGGGAGCGCTCAGCTTCCTACCTCTAACTCTGCTATGCAAGGTAACCTCTGCCCAGCACCAGGTAATTAAAAATGATGGCAGTACCATTTGCCCTCTGCCTCTGGAAAACAAGGGCAGGACACTGTGCAGCAGCTTTCTCCTCAGATTGTGATCCCTCTCTTGTAGCACAGTTCTTCTCAGAGCCTCCAGGCAAGAGCCTCCCATTATTTTGTATTCAGCATGAATTTATCATGCAAGACAATCCTTGCTGCAGGTTTTGTAGCTAATATGGCTAAACTAATCTATGCCAGAACCAATTACATAATTGCATCCCATGTTAAAGCAAAGATAGTCACTGATGGTTGGATCCCATTTCTGTGACACCCGTAAAGACTGCAGTTGTGTTGCCCTCATATCTGGAATATACAGCCATGATCAGAGCTAACAGATGATTAACAAGCATTTAATAAATCGGATGTATTTTGGTGGACATGAGCTGTCCCTTGCAGTTGTGGATCTGAGTAGTAGTTTGTCTCTGAGCTCTGGAAGTACCCAGGCTTTAGCTCTTCAGGCTTTGTGCCAGATAAGTTAAAATGCCTTAAACATAGGAGGTTGGGCTTGAGTTTTTTCCCCACAGCTCACTCTGGATACCAGGTGAAAGTGCCCCATCACCACTTCAAAATGTAACATCCCAGCTGAGAAAAGAAACATTAAACCCCCATTTCCCACCCAATGATCAGCTCAGGGCAGTGTTTGCAGGGGAATGGAGCAGCGGAAGGTGAGGTCTGTGGAAGGGCAGTGCAGGTGCAGACAGGGCTGTGCCACACTGTGCTGTGCCATTCTGGGCTGTCCAGAGCCTGTCACTCAGCTCCTTTAGTCTGCTCCCAAAAGCTATAAAGCTTCTGCTGCAGCAAAAACATTCTGGGGCTTGCAGGCCTGTTTGTGACTGCACCCCTGGTCACCATCCTGTGTTTCAAGTCACCTCCACAAGATCTGGCCAGCTCTTCAAAACAGAGACATCGTGGCTGTGTAACAAAATGATAGGCAGATCTGGATGAGTGTTATGACAGTGCCATTCATGTTCATTTTTCAGTCTGTTTTATCATCTCCATAAAGATTCAGGTCCATAGCAGTCCTGATGCCTCCCTGAGCTTGGCAGAGGATTGAAGTACCTGCTGCAGAATTACAGCTCGAGCACAGCATGGTGTATCCTGCCATTAGCAGCCTTTGCACATTGAGGGAAAACACAGGCCAACATCGGCTTTCCAGGCTGGAAAACTGCTCCTTATCTTCACAACAGTGCACAGGAATGGGTATTTATATCTGCCAAAACAGTAACACTGATTAGCTGCTGTTTCTGCCATAGTGAGTTTGAAGCTCCAAAGCTTGCATCTTCCCTTGCTAAGGAGATTCCTTCAACAGCCATACAGGGAGACCTGGTGGTCCACATCCTTGGCGGAAAAACAAAAAGCATCAAAAACGTGGAAAATCACCAGACAAAATGCAAGGGATGTCTTTAGCACGACTTAGCCTTGGAATCCCGAACATTTGTGACTTAGAAACTCATACTTGTTTCTTAAAGGCAGCAGGAAAGCTCCCACTGGCTTAGTTGGAAAATTGTCACCTCCCCTTCAAGTCTGGGAGTGGTTCCAGTGTGAGCAGGAGGAGTTTTTGACCATGCCCCAGCAGTGATGTTGTGCACTGTGCCAGGCTGGGGAAGCCCCACATTTGCCATGCAGCTTGCCCGTGGCACAGGCTGGCCAGCAGGCTCTCCAGACAGCTCCTCAGAGCTGCAGCAGCCAGGCAAGGGGGCACCAGCCCCAGGGGACTCCCTGGTGGGGTCACCCCCACCCCGTGGGGACTCCCTGCAGGCAGGATGCCAAGGGCTTTTGCAGAGACAGGTGAGGTGCCAATGCCTGGAGCAGGAAATGGAGTTCCCACTGACCCAGGAGAGACCAGACATCAAGGAATGGGCAACCAGAGCTTATAGGGAAGCATGTGAAGGGGCAGGGAAATGCAGCAGGGAAGGACAGCCAGCAGCGATTCAGCAGGGAGGCTTTAGGGCAGGCAAAAATCCATCACTTGATCCTGGTTTGCAGCAAAGGTAAGGTGAAGCACCAGAGCAGCTCAGCACCATCAAAGCCAGCTGCCTTTCCAGAGAGCTGGAAGCAATTGCAGGCACTCATGGAAAGCAGCTCAGAGCAGCCCAGAAGGGGCTTCCCTGTGGGGTCTCCACAAGGCAGGAGTTGCTCATTGGGTTTGCCTGCCCAGTCAGCTCCAGCCAGCACGAGCTTGGGTTTTTCCCACTTCTTTTGGGGTAAGAGCTCTTGACCAGGAGCTGAATCCCAGAAAGCATCTGATGGTTAAACTCAGGTAGAGGTGCTGGCACAAGGCTCTGCATTTTCTGAAGTGCAGGTTGCTTTTTTAAACCATTGCCTCTGGGGTGTGTCTCTGTGCTGAGGAAAGGGGCAAGGAAAGGCCTTCAAGCCACTCTGATGACTGCTCAGAAAATGAGATATTTGGAAGTCAAGGCCTTCCAGGGCCCAAATCATGAGAGACAGCATTTTGGGGACTGCAGTTGCACAGGAGCTTTGCCCAACATTTCCCAGGATGAGCAGATCTGATCAGGCCCTGCTGTTTTCTCCAGGGGAAGATGATGATGATGATGAATGTGGGGAGGAGAAGCTGCCCTCCTGCTTTGACTACGTGATGCACTTTCTGACCGTCTTCTGGAAGGTCCTTTTTGCCTTCGTGCCCCCGACAGACTACTGGAATGGCTGGGCTTGCTTCGTTGTCTCCATCCTCATGATTGGCCTCCTGACAGCCTTCATTGGCGACCTGGCATCCCACTTTGGCTGCACCATTGGTCTGAAGGACTCGGTCACTGCCGTCGTGTTTGTCGCCCTGGGGACATCGGTGCCAGGTAAGCACAGCCACGGGCTTTGTTGTGAAGCTCCATCCCCACCCGGGCTGGGGCTGGGGCTGTGCTCTGCAGGATCCCAAAGCACAGGTTTGAGATATAGATGGAAATTGTTTTGCAGTCTCAGATGGGCTGAAGGATAGAACCAGGATCCACATCCAGGATGTGGATTCAGTCCCATGGGAATTATTTCAAGGCCCATCCCACTGCAAAGAATGTGAAGTATCTGTTTCTGTGGGCAGCCTCCCTGGTGTCCACTTTCAGAGTTGGAATTGGTCTTCAGTTAAAATGCTGCCAGCATTGGCAGTCCTGCATTTTAAGCATCTGCTGCTTTCACCTTGCTCCTGGGTGAATTAAGTGTGAGTCTGTACTCAGGGCACACTTTCCAGCATGGACACCTTTGTATGAGACAAGGTTCAGATGGATCAAGGTGAGGTTGCTGAACTGGGGGAGCTGCTTGAAATGCAGCTTGTGAAGCTCTGTGGATTCCCATGTCAGCCTGTGCCTTTCACTCACCTTCTCCCACGGGCTGTGCTGGGCAGGCAGAGCCTGATTTCTGGACAAGGGGCTCTGACCCACCCCAACCATCCTTTGCATCAGTCATACCTTCCCTCACCACCTTCAGACTTCCAGTTATTGGCACCCAGATGCTCAAAGGTCCTGAAATTGTCCTACTGATAGCAAAGGCAAAGAGAAGAAGCAGCAGAACCAAAAGAGAACAGATCTAGGGCAAGGAACAGAAGAAGGAGCATTTTTTAGACCTCTGGCAGTAGAGGCTTTAGCAGAAGGTTTGCAGAGCTTCTTCACATGTTTGACAGTGAAAATCTTTCCTCCTGCTTTGGCTGGCATAATGTGGCATTTAAGCAGTTCTTTTTTAGAATACATTGGGCTACTCTTGTTTCACTTGGCTCCCAGGCCTTGCTGTGTTAGCTGGGTGCTGGTTGGGCTCCTTCAGCCCTGCTTTCCAGGAGATGGGCAGGCACCAGAGGAGGGTGCACAGAAATCAGCACTGACAGGGACCTCCCCTGCATTGAAAGCACTGCTCAAACTTGCAGAAGTGCAGGTGGTTGTTTCTGCACTCATTTCTTCTCCCCCATTGGCAGCAGCAGAGCCATCGAGGCATCAGCACTGTCCCCCAACTCTGTCACTGCACTGTGATCAAGGCCTTTTCCTTCCCTTAGGTGCATGTCCATGGCAGCTTTTTTTTTTTTAATAAAGCAGACTTTTGATTTCTTTCTTTTTTCTCCCACTGTGTCCATCCCATCCCCTCCTGTTCCATGGAGCTGGATCTTTGTGCCAGGCTGCACTTTGCCATCTCACCTTAGAGCCAGGTGGGGAGGAACAGAAAGGAAATTCTGTAGAATATAAAAACGTGAAATATGACCTCGCTGTTTTCTTTTCCTGGGCCACACTGCACTGCCTGTACCCAAGGGGATCTGGGAGTGCAGATATGTTCAGGACTCACCTTCTCATGGTTAGCTGAGAGTGCTCACCTGAACCAACCCACACGCTAACCCCTCCTGCTCTTCCTTCCCCCTGCAGATCCAGAGTGGGTTTGGATGTAAAATCAGCCCTTCCCTGTGGCACAGAGCAGTGTCATGCTGGTCTGCCTGACACAAGGTGTTCCATTAAAATGGCCAGCCAAGTTTTATCACGGGTGTTAAAGCTGGCAGAGCATCTGGGCAAGCGTGCACCTACCCACACGGTTTTTCTTCCCAAGGGATGGAGGATGGCCTGGTTTACCAAGGTGTCAGGGCCTGCACAAGGCACTGGACTTCAGCGAGGCAAAAGGTTCTAGAGGCTATTTCTGACCATTGAAATTCCCTCCTGTGCATTTCCAGACCCTGATGGTCCAAGAGAACCAGATGGTCCCCTGATTCCCTGGAATTTCCATTAGAAGGGGCTGTACCCTATCCCCTTACCCATTATTTTCTATCCCCAGGTGTTGCCATTGACATTTGTCCCCAAGCTGCCCTCTTTTCCTGGGTGTTTCCTGAGGGTTTCTCCCCACCTTTCCCTTGCAGACACATTTGCCAGCAAAGTAGCAGCAACGCAGGACCAGTACGCGGACGCGTCCATCGGGAACGTCACCGGCAGCAACGCCGTGAACGTTTTCCTGGGCATCGGGGTGGCCTGGTCCATCGCGGCCATCTACCACGCGGCGCACGGACAAGCCTTCCAAGTCTCCCCTGGCACACTGGCCTTCTCCGTCACCCTCTTCACCATTTTTGCTTTTATCAGTGTGGGAGTGCTGCTCTACCGGCGGAGACCCGAGATCGGAGGTGAGCTGGGCGGGCCGCGGACTTCCAAGCTGCTCACATCCTCACTCTTTATCCTCCTCTGGCTCTTGTACATATTCTTCTCATCTCTGGAAGCCTACTGCCACATAAAGGGCTTCTAAAGGGACAATCAGAGATAGTAAATATGTGTATATCTATATATATCTATATGGAGTGATATATAGGTATAGATATAGATATAAAGCTGTGTATAATGAACAGAGAAAGAATAAAAGAGATTTGCCATGTTCACACACCTGCTGATGGAAAGCGGCTTTGGAGCATCCTTTGAACTAGGCAGGACCCCAAAGCCAGCAGGACCCCTCCCCAGGCAGCGGCCCCAGCCAGGAGCCAGGGGCAGGGCCCTGTCTGCAGCTCGACCAACAGGAGCGGCCGATGGCCACCGAGCCCCTTCCATGGCTGACTCCCACCCGCTGGTCCCGGAAGACGGATGAGAAGGCAACCGGGGCGTGTCGGTGTGAGCAAGGCCAGAGTAGCTGGTGAGAAACAGAGCAGTGGGCAAGGGAAGGAGAGGAGAGCAAGGGTTCTGATCTCCCACCGCATCCAGCTGCCTTCACCACCCGGGAACAGGCCCTCTGGCCCTGCTGGAGAGGAGCGAGAGACCGAACTGAAGACAAGGGGAAACTGGGAGCTTTCTAAGGATAGAACACAAACCGTTTTCGTCATTGCTTTGGGGCTGGTTTTTTTGTTTCGTTCTGGCGTGTGTACAACTAGCATTTCCCACCCACATGCCCCTCACCTTTCCCCGTCCGTGCTTTGGGGGTGCACAGCCGCAGCCTCGTGTCCCGTGTCCCAAGCCGAGGCCGCGCGGAGCGGCGGGAGCCTTCCTCCCACTCCTCCGCCTCCTCGGGCATGCTGTCGTGGTACTTGTAACATTTGCATGAATGAAATGAAATCTATCTGTATATAGCATCCTATAGCGATAGTCCTTCCAACCATGTGGGTTGAGCATTGCAGATTACAAGCGTTTTCTTTTCACTGGGTTTTATTTATTTTTAGTTAGTTCGGTTTTGCCATAGGGTTTTGCTCGTTTGTTTGTTTGTTTCCTCTTAGCGGGGGTGGAAAGGATGGAAAGCTGTCCCCACTCACTGCTCGTGGCATGGCTCCATGAGAAGCAATAACAGCCATGCAGTTGTAGGTTTTCAGGGGAGGAAAACCCACACCCCAGAGCCTTCAGGCTCTGTCCAGCTGACGTGCTGAAGCCAGTGTGAGGCCTCCTCTGCCCACAGGAGGTGTTACACAGGGTCCCAGGGAGTGGGGTGAGCAGTCTGAGGGGAGCAAGCTTGGCTAACTCCCAGCACCCCACATGCTTCTGCCTTTCGAGTCGGTGGCTGCCTCAAAGCCCTTGGCCCCCCGCTATTGCCTGTACCCCCAGAGGTGTAGTGACAGCCCCTGTTTCTGAGTGTTAAGCCATCAGGACCAGTCCCCAAAGCTGGTCCTTCCCCACAGCCATTTGGAGGCAGGGCTGAAGGGCCGTGCGAGATCTCCCACTCCACTGAGTGTGACCAGGACACATCCCCCAGGAAAAGGTCGTGTTTTGCACTCTCCAAATCCCAAGTCACTGGACAGGATGAGACAGGGAGGTGTGACTCAGCATCACCCCCTGGTGCCAGGAGTGCAGGCTGGGATAGAGAGCTGAGCCAGGGAAATGTGGGTGTAGAGCTCCCCGGGGCACCGACACTGGGCACTGGTGGTGAGAGATGTCTCCTGACCCGCTGCCCTTTGCCAGGCTTCCTGACATTCCAGCCAGGCAAACTCCCAGCCTGCATGTCCATGGTGAGCTCTTCCCACTCAGCTGAAAACCATGTCTGATGCTTGTACCATAACCAGCTGGCTGGGGGTATTTGTACTCATCTTGAACTATCTGTGGAAATTTTAATTAACCTGCTGTAAGATTTTCTCTAGGAATATGAAGTTGTGGTTTATGTTTTTTTTTTTTCTTCTCAAGCCTTTTTTCACTTTTGATTTGTTTTGGGGTTTTTCTTTTTTGTTTCGTATTGTTTTGGGGAAAAATCAAACACAGGTGCAGGTTGTTCAGGTTTATGATTACCTTTATGTACAATGATTTCATTTTCATCTGTTTGGCTTCATTTTTTTCTTTGTGTGTATTGCCCACCACTATAGGCAGTGAGTCCACTAATTGTGATGATCCTTATCAATGGTACACAATGCACAGAGAAATAAAGTTTGTAATGATTCCTGATGGATCCAGTACTGCTCCTGCATATTCTCTATGGAAAACCCTTCTCTCCCCTCCAGCTGTTTCCATCGTAGCCATCTCTCCTTGACTCATTGGTTTGCCTTCCCTGTGTTTCTGCCTCTGGCAGGGGCAGTGGTGCCTTGGCACGGCTGCCCCTGCCCCATCCCATGCCCTTCCTCCCTCTCCATCTCCATGGTGCCTCAGGCTCGGTGTGTGCTGCGCTACAGCCACGGCTCACAGCCTGCTCCACTCTCAGGGGGAGGCAGGAAACCACCCAGGACAAAGCTGCAGGGCAGCCCACCCTGCTGGGGCCAGCAGCTGCCCCCGTGCTGGGTTAAGCCCTGCCCTAGGCTGGGGGAGAGCCATGGGGTGCCCCCAAGGTACCAAGCAGCTCTTTCTGCTTGTGTCCTCTATAAAACTGCTCCTGCTCTCACTACAGCCTCACAGTGACCTGTGAGGATTAAACCACGAGCTAACCATGGGGGAGAATGCAAGAGGTGCATTGCCAGGGCCGGGTCCATGGGTGCCAAAGCAGATCTGGGGCACCCCACAAGGCTGGGCTGCTCTCAGGAGGTGCCTGCCCAAGCCCCAGCCCAGGTGCCATGGGCCTTTTCAGACCCATCTGTGCCTCCACACAGCTCAGCCAGCACTGAGGAGCAGAAAAGTCTCCCCATGGCCAGGGATGTTGCTCCTCCCTGTGTTTCATCCAGCATCTGTTGAGCTGTCCCCAGATAAACCCTCCCTGCCGTGCCTGGGAGGTCCTGCTCTGACAGCTGAACTCAAACACCAGCCCTGGAGATGGGCCCCAGGCAAGCACCGCCTTCAACATTCCCGGCAGAGAGCACGGCCAGCAGTGTCCATGAGCTTCTCCCGGGCAGTGCATTGTGAAAGCAAGCAAAGCAGCTCCTCTGACCCAGTAATTGCATCTGCTGAAAGGTGATGTGGGTGTTTTCCCCTCATCATTTGCTCCTTCAGAATTAATTGCCTTTGCTGAAATAATTAACAAGTCAAATGGGACTTGTGTGGCTACTTAGGTTAGCAGACAGTAAATAACTCTTGTGCTCACGGAGCTTTCCAAAGGGAATGATGGAGCAGTGCTTGCTGAGGACATGGCTGAACACCAGCCCTGGTCATGCAGTTGCTCTCTGCCAGCTGTGTGCTTTGGGCATTTTTACCAAGGCTGTGCCCAGTGTGACCTGAGTGTGCCCAGTGTGACCTGAATGTGCCCAGTGTGACCTGAGTGTGCCCAGTGGCTCGTGGAGGGGTCACAGGGAGCAGCCAGGGGAAGCAGTGCTCCCAAGGGTGCCAGGCCTGCTCTTCTGCACAGTCTCCTCTTCAAACCACACTCTCCAAAGGCAGAAGAGAGCTGCCCTCCCTGAGAGGACACTGGCTGGCAGCGCTGGGAGGCAGCAGGAGGAAGCACATCCCCAGCACAGTCACGCCTTGTCACAGCTCAGCTCCCTGGATCCCCTGTCCAATGCCAGAACTCTCCCATCTCTTCCTCATCCAGCCTCCCACCCTTGCCTGCACAGGGAGAGCATCGAGCACCTCTGGTACAGGCCCTGGTAAAGGGTTTATGGATGTTGCCAGAAGCAGCAGCTCAAACCTTCGGCCTCCATCCATTTCCCTGCCCCATTTGCTCTCATCCCCTCTCATCACCCCACCAGCCAAAGGCAAACCTTTCCTTGGAAAAGGATGCAGCACATGTCCAAAGGATATTCAGGGACAGGAGACACCCACACTGCCAAGCACGTGGGGACGAGCAGAAGGAGCACACCAGTGACAGCCCCAGCCATCCTGGACAAACCACATTGCCATGGCGTGGAGGCAAATCCCATCCACAACCTGAACACTGGGAGAAGGCACAAGAAAAAAGGAAAGAGCCACAGATCTGCAGTGCCTCATGGCTGAGCCCACCTTGACTGCCACTGTGCCAGGGCAGCACAGGGACTGCTCCATCCCAAGGTGTGGACCCCTCATCTCCAGCCAAAGGAGGCTCCTGTCCCTGTGTCACCCGTGCCAGGCAGCCCCTGGTGCCTGGCAACCATCACAAGAGTCCTTGTGCATCCTCACCCTGCTCCCTGGAGGGACAGAGGGGAGAAGGGAGGCCTGGAGCGCGCCTGGTCACGAGCCTGGCTGTGAACTCTCTGCTCTGTTTCTGCTGTGGGCAGGCACTGGGGAGGCAGAGCCCCTCTGTTATTGTTACAGCTATTTTTAAATTCTCGCGTAAGAATCGGCGGTGTTGGTGGCCATATACATAACTCAGGAGGAAGTTCAACTGCATTCCTGGAGGGACAGAGCTGAGCAGAGCCAGAAAGTGAGGAAAATTTAATGTTGGACAGTGTAATTCCAGGACAAAGCCTTGCATTATTTTCTGTCAGCTTTGGCACCCAAGCCCTCCTGGAGAAACGTGTTTGCAGAGCACCAGGAACCTCTCTGGCCTCTCTGGGCACACAGTGACCAACTATTGATGCCTGTACCCGTGCTCAGCACAGCTCTGGAAAAGCCTGTTTATCTTGTAAAACACTGGCTTGCACAGAAAAGCATCCAGAGGCGTCCATATTCTTGCAAAAAGCGCCGAGGGACAATAAATACAGAGAGATTCCTCACCTTTTAAGGACTTGAGCCTTTCTGCTGCTGGAACTGGAGGTGCCAAGAACCTCTTGCCAGGCAGCAGCACCCCTCACACGGAGGGAAGGGACACTGAAAGGGAAAGGGGCCTGCCTGGCCATGTAGGAGCTGTTATCAGCAAAGACAGGCAGAGCTTGCTGCCATCAGCAGGGTTTTCTGCCTGTGGGATGCCCCTGAGAGCATCCAAGGAGTCTCCACAGGGCCTTGCTCTCTCTCTGGAGCATCTCAAGAGCAGCCAGTGCTGCCCCTGGGACTCAGCATCCCCAGGGTGGTTCAGCACCCTCTCCTGCAGGATCTGCACCTTCCCTTGGCTCCTTCCCCTTTCCCAAAGGGAATGCCAGCTTGGGGCTGCCCTCACCACAAGTGTGGAAGAGGGCACTGGGGCACCCACTGTTCCTACTCTGGATCACTGCTGGAGCTGGGTGTGCCAGTGGGATGCCCAGCACCGGAGGGCACAGGGAAGGGACAAGTGCCAAGGGCTCCCACCCAGACCTGGAAACCTTGTTCAAGCACTGCCACAGCCTGTCCTGGCTGCCAGGGGCATGGCATGCACCTGGATTTCTGCACAGACACAGCACAGCCTCCAGCTTCTCTGGCTGCCCGTGGTACCAACCCCAGACAGGATTTTTGTCTCTTTGAGTCAAAACAGCCCTTGGCCTGGAAAGCTTCCTGCCCCTCCAGTACACAGGGTCAGGTGGCAATGGGAAGGACCATTAGTGACCCACCATTAGTGACCCCACCTGGTGCAGGGTCCTCCACGTTCCGCCTCGAGCCATCTCAAGGTCCCAAAATCTACACTCAGTGGCAATCCAGCCTGCAGCCTGCTCTGTGCTTGCCTCCCCTGTGAAGCCTCTTCACATTCCACTTTCTCCCAAGCTCCCAGCAGAGGAGCATCCTCTGTCCCTCTGTCCTGCCCCGCAGCTGGGGGTTTCCTGTGTGCGACAGATTTCCTTCCTCACAGCACTGAACAGCAGCCCTTGTTAGCTCAGCCTTGCTGTTTGTGTCTCAAGGCAAAGATGAACCACCCCACATCATGGACCTGAGCCCCTAAAACCAAGGAGCCTACAAACTTCCACACAAACCCCACAAACCCTCCTGCTCATCACCAAGGCACATCACAGCCACTGCCCCCAGGCACAGTTTTTATTGTGCCACTGTCCTTCACTCATTAGTCTGTGGAAGTTTTTTTGCTGGATTTCCACCATTATCAAGTCCCACAGATGCTCCAACTCCACCCCCAATCCCAACATCCTCTATGCTTCCAAAACAAACTAATTTGCTTTATCTGGGGGTTCAAGGCTTTCCTGCCTTTGCTTGAAATGGGCACTTGAAGTAGAACAAGTTGCAATGGCTTGGGATGCTTATCCACACTTGGAGCTCCTAAACCCTTGCAGCATGTGGGAAACTGCCACAGGACTCTGTCCCTGCACCTCCCAACCTCTTTGTGGGGGTGGGATTTATTTCTCCTCCATTTCTTCCAGCTCAGAGCAGTCTCTTGAGAGATGGGAGGATGAGACCTGCAAGGAGCACAGCCTTGCTCTGCTTTCCTGATGGAAATTGCCTGTCCATGGCACTGCCATCCCCAGGAGTGTGTGCCCCACTGCCCCTGGCAGGGTCCTCACTCACAGAAGTGTGAGATTCTGGCAGATGAACCGCTTTGCAGAGATACTTAGAAACATGCAGAATTTCTAAGTCCCTGTGAAATTGCTGTGCTGGCACGGGCAAGGCTGGATCCTGGTGTTGCAAAAGTGTCCCAGAGCTTGTTTGGGAACATTAATGAAAGGTTTCACAAACCAGCAGCTTTGTGACTCCCAAGGATGTGGGGAGGTGCACAAGTGGATTTCTCCTTGTTTCATGTGATGCTGAGATGCCTCCCTTGGCTTCAGCTCCAGCCCTGTGCCCTGCCCTGCCTTGCAGTAGGAGCTGTGATGAGCTGGCCCTTGGCTGAACTCCCCCTGCTCAAATGAGAACAAACTCATGACTGTTTGTGTCTTCATTTGCTGGCCCCATGTTGCCTCCTTCATCTTGCGAGCTCTTGAGGAAAATGTGCCCATGCAGGGAGCCTTGCAGGAGCCCTGCTTGTCTTGCTCTTTAATCAGGAAACACACACTACTTTCTGCAGCTCAAGAGAGCAAAAGATGGCAATAATATCTCTTACATTGCAGGCACTGTGTTAGCAAGGAGGAAAATGTTATTTATTTTTTCCCTGACAGTACTTGTCCTACTTCTTTTTTCCATAATGCATTAAGCGTTAGGAGGCACAGCTCTGCACACAGTCCAGCTCTCAAGACTACCTGTTGAGGACATTGCTCAGCAATCCAGCAGTTTTGTTTGTGGATGAAGGGCAGAAGGTGGTGAATTCTCCTAGGACTCCTAGCTCCTGCAGGAAGACACAGCCATGCTGGCAAAACCCACAAAACGCTGGGTTCTGTGAATTGCAGCCCTTTGCATCCTGGGTCTCTGTGCCAAGAAGACCTGGCATGAGGCTGTAAAATCCAAATCCTGAACTTCCTGAAGACCACTCAGCAGTGATGGGGGCACCTTTATCCCTCCTGCTGTCTCCAGGCTGCCCAGAGAGGTCTCTGGCACACCCGGTGCTCACCTCGTGAGAACGTCACCGCTGGTCGAGCAAGAAGAGGACAAGGAGTAGACAGACCACGTCCTACCTCCCACCCCAAATACAAACCCACAGGATATTCCCAGCAAAAAGCAGCCAGACTGCCAGGCAGTCCTTGGGAAACCTCTCCCATCTCAAAGGCAGCAGGTTCCCCATGGCACTCGCTCCCCACATCGCTGCCCTGAGGGAGGGGCTGCTCCCAGCTCAGCATCCTGCAGGCACAGCCAAAGGAGACACCTGGGCTTCCTTCTGGGAGCATCAGCCAGAGAGGCCTGCAAGGAGTGGCCATAATATTCCAAAGGAGAAATAAATGAGATGGGAATTAGTTAAAAACCCCTACAGCAGGGGTAATTTATATCCATCACTTATTTTCTGCTGTAATGAAGTGGCCCAATTATCTTGATGCTTGAATGACCACTCCAGTTCTCAAAAGTCATTTCTGCACACTTGAATAGCTGCTCCTCCTTCTAGAGAAACCATCTCAGAAGGGAGCACATCTTCCTTGGCAGAGATGTAATCCATGTCAGCAGCTCCTCCCACTGTCCCTCTCGGGAGCAGAGGGACACTGGGGCAGGGAGCTGCCTGCACAGCCTGTCCCAGGGCTGCCGGACACTCCCCACAGCAAGGATCCCCTGGAACAGCAGGATGCAGGAGGGCAGGAGCTCAAAGTGGGCCTGAGAAGTGCTGGGGGGAGCTGGTGGCTGGATGCAGCCCATGGGGGAGACAGGCATCAGGCGTGTGTGTGGGGAGTCTCCTCAGGGGCACCCCATGCCAGGGTGGTGGCTGGGGACAGCACTGCCAGGGCAAGTTGCCCTCTGGAATTTTGGATGTGCTCCAGAAAGAATGGCTCTCCCTTTCCTGCTCTCCTCTGAAGCCACCAGTCTCTGACAGGCTCCAATGTGTCCCTGCTCAGCAATCCAAGGGCAGCTCCCCCGGGGCAGCATGGGCAGGCAGGCAGGAGGAGGCTGTGACCACCCTTCCTGACGCACCCAAAGCCACCTGCCACCGCCATCCTGTCACCCATCACCCTGTGTGTGTCCCCTCACAACCACGAGGCACCCTAGGGCAGACAGACATCTTGTGCAAACCTTGACAGAGAGAGAGAGAAACAGAGAGATCTCTGACAGCCCAAGCAGCCCCCTGGTCCCCCAGCAGGGACAGGGCAGGCAGACCCCAGCTGGACAGAGCCAAATTATTCCAAAGCTGAGCTGAGAGTTTGCAGAAAAGCTGGTTTGCCTGGAGACAGAAACCAGAGCATGGGTCATAAATTGAACTCCACCTTCCCTCTGTCTCCTGCGCCGTGCTTGGTGCCACGGGCTTGCCCTGCCCCAGCTTGTGCCCCAAGCTGAGGGTCACCCCCAGGCTCAGCAGCTGGAGCCCCCCAGTCTCTCTGTCTCTGTCACAGTTCCTCACAAATTCAATGGCACAATGCAGCTACACTATTTGAAAAGCCATAATATTTGTTGGTACGACTCTTTTATTACTGTCAATTTATATATATATTTGTTGATAAAAGAGGTCATCTTGGGAGACACTTCCAGTCTACTGGGAAATAATTGTCCGATGCTGTATATTCTGTACATGCTGTATAAACAGAGCAAAATATGTAAATCTCAACGTTTGGTGGACTTGGTGCTGCAGGGCCAGACTGGCACCAGGCAAGGCCCCTTCTGGGGCACCACGGCTGGGGCTGGGGGCTCCCAGCAGCGTCCCCGTCCTGCTGGGCCCTGGCACAGCCTGGGGCAGGGGCTGGCCCTGCGGCTCCCTCGGTGCTTTCCCTGCACGAAGGTGGAAGGGGCGGCTTTGGGATTTGGGAGCAGGAGCAGCTGCACCTTCCCTCCCTCCTTCCCGGGGCACAGCCAGACCCATCCGGAGCTCGGTGTCACCCAGCCCGCAGCCAGCACCCAGCAGGACATCCGTGAGCCTTGGGGGTCCCAGGGAGACGATTCCCCGCGGGAAGGCAGACACTGGCTCCGAGCATCCGGCTTCTCCAGCTCCTTCCCAGCCAAGCCAGCCGCCCTCCCCGGCACGTTCTACAGCAGCCACGGGCTGTGACCTTCTAGCCCGACACACGCTCCTAGGAAACCTGTTTCATATTTTCCGTGGTATCGGTCTACAACTTTTGAAATTATTGGACACAATCGTGGTAGCCTAAAAATTGTGCTGAGCTCATATATTTTTATATTTGTGGTGTTTTCCTATCAATAGAGAGTAGTGAACCCTATAGCTGAAAGTGAACTATTCCAAATAAATATATGACTGCAGAAAATATTTGTAAAAATAATTTATTTTAAATATTCTGCCAAAGATAGCTCTCTAATGATCTGTAAGATGTCGTTTCTCTCTTTTTGCTCTGAATGTCATTGTGAAAGGACCTTTCTCCCCATATCTTTTGAAGATTTTTTTTTTTTGTATCTTTAAGGGCAAAGAAATATTCCAATGATTTTTTACTAGAGCAGTAAATAGAGTAGTAGGGAGGCACGAGACAACTCTGCAAAGGTGACAAACAGGATCCAGTAACAATCACTCTGAAAATCCGGTTTTTCCCATGGTTCCTCTGGCTGACAGATGGGGTTGGAAGCCTGGGACAGCTGTCTAGCAGGAAGACCTTGGCTGCTGCTGCTGCTGTGGCTGCTGTGTAACTTACCCGAAGGAGGGAAATCTCCTGAGAATCCCATCCCCAGGCTTGAGGCATTTGGATCCCCTTGCATCCAATCTTAGCCTCTCCATTATTTATGGGCATAATTTATTCATTATCCCTTAATAGGCCCTGTGGCACATGGGGAACCCTCCCCCAGAGCTTTGTGGGGCTTCAGCCCAAGCCATTCCCTCCACACCCCTGCCAGCAGCCCTGAACCCCTGGCACAGGGAATCCTGCTGGCATCCAGACCTGTCCCTTCCTCACGTGGGGACAGGGCAGGGGACACCCAGCCGCCGGGGGACACTTTGGCAAGAGGATCCATCCCTGCAGGTATCCACTTAAACAGGGGGAAGTACAGCCTTTTACCATGGAGAAGCTGCCTAGATTAGCCTTTGAGAAATGACTATTTTTTTTATTATTATTGCAGAGAGAAATCTTTCCCTTTTCATTTCTCCCTTTTGAAATGACTTTTCAATACTAGGGAAAGCCTTCATTATCTTCTGTGATCCCCCAGGTCTGCTGCAGTGGAAATAAATCCTCAGCCATGTCTGTTAGGCTCCACCACTTCAAAGAGATTCTTGGCTCAGATTTTTCTCCCTTCTGAGCAGATTCACAATTTCTTAAGTGTCTTGGTCATAAAGGTCTGGAAGAATTAATGGGCAAAGAAAGAAATAAAAGCCCTGTTCCAGTGAATGTGTTTCCACAAGCGATTCAACTTTTGACTCCCCCAAGGTCAGGCACGTGTTTTATCGGGAAGGGAGGTGGGAAAAGCAGTTTCCAAGCCATAGGGTGTGGTGGGTGCGGAGGGAGGACTGCTGTCCGTGGGTGACACACTCTGCAGCGTGGGGAGCACTGCCAGGGAGCCTTTGCTCCCCCGGGCTCTGCAGCTGCTGCGCCGCAGGGAAACAGAGCGAGCCAGGGAAGACTATGGTGAGAAGAATTGGGTTTCTGATCACTGTGCATTTTGTTAATTAGTGAATTCAAATAGTTTTATTTTTACCAAAAACAGATAATGTTTATTCCAGTAAAGACAACTGTTGACTTGAGATATATATAAATATATATATATATAATTTGAATGGTTTATATCCTGTTGCTCTAACTACATAAAATGGAAACATGTTGCAAGTTGTGTCATTTCAATATACAAAATAAATGACTTTTCCCTGCATGCTGCCTGGGTATGTTGTGATTTGAATTAAGAGTTATATTTGAATTGCCTTATTCAAGAGGTTGTATGTTACCTAACTGGGGAATGACCTGGCACTGTTCATCACATTACATGTGTACTTGATGCTGTGTTATGTCAAATTCAGATGAGTTGTCTGTCATCTATGTATTTCGTGGGAGATCTTTTATCTTGTTAAACTGTGATATGTAAACCTTCATTGCCTGAAATAGTCACAGTTGTATAAATCAGTGTCTTCAGCTGTTTTCCTAATTTTAACACAATTCCTAACACAAAATATAGATGTTTGTAAATTCTTCATTCATTTGGTCTATTTTTATGTATGAGGTTTCTTTAATCTGGCAAAGCAATAAGATAAGGCAGCTTTCCCGGAATTTTTCAATCAAGGCTCAGCTACATTTCTATCCCTCGGCAAGAGGCAACAACCAATTTTCAGCAGGGACAATTGGCATTGGGGATGTCTGTTTATTGCTATTATCTCTCCTGGCTCGGACGGGCCATTATCAGAGCAGAACGCGATGGTGAATGACGAGCCAGACGTGCGGCTCCTGCAGTGACAGCGCTGCTCGGGGTACCCCGGGGGCTCCCAGCGCCTCTCTCAGCCAGGCAGCCCCTTCCTCAGCCACAGCCCCTCCCTCAGCCCCGCAGCCCCTCCCTCAGCCCCGCAGCGCCTTCCTAAGCCCACAGCGCCTCCCTCAGCCCCGCAGCCCCTTCCTCAGCCCCGCAGCGCCTTCCTCAGCCGGGCAGCGCCTCATTGAGCCCCGCAGAGCCTCCCTCAGAGCCTCCCTCAGCCCCACAGCCCCTTCCTCAGCCTCGCAGCGCCTCCCTCAGCCCCACAGCTCTGGGAGGGAGGGAGGGACAGAGGGGTCCCTGCAGGCAGGAAACGGCTCGGCTCACAGAGCAGACCCCCAGGAGCCCACCTCCAGCTGGCAGACCACTGGAGCGTTTCTGGACATTTCTATGCCTAAAAGTAAAGCAGTGGTTGGGATCATTAAAACAGTCTGGCCGGAGTCAGTCGCGGTCCCTGCCCAGCTGTGCGGGTGCCGCACTGTCCCGAGGAGGAGCAGCGGAGGTGGTTCGGGCACACGAACCATGCCCAGGCGTCTCAGCCGTGGTGTGAGCCCCACCGTGCTCTCCCCACTGTTCCAGCCCGGACCGCAGTTGTACAGGAAACGCTGCTCGCTTTTTATTTCTGGTAACCATAAGAAACACATGGCCAGAGAAAAAGAAATTCCTGGAGCAGGACAAGCTGTGATGGTCCTGGGTTATTGAATCTCTATCCAGGGCTTCGAGTGCTAAAAAAATTCCTATCCCATCCACAAACGTACCCACCTCTTTTTCTCCTTTTAATGTTGGAAGGTTGTCAAAAGGGAAAAATGCGCTGGGAAGGGCTTGGGGAGCATGGAGAGGAGGCCGCCAGAGGCAGGGCGGTGCGGCAGCCCGCGAACCGCCCAGAGGACTGGGGGAAACAGGCTTGCTAGAGGCGAGTGTGCGGTA